AAAAAAAAAAAAAAAAAAAAAAAAAAAAAAAGAAAAGTGAATGCTGAATATATTAATAAAATTCAAATTTTATGTCTGCTAAACAATTCAGAAACCGAAACCCGTTTTCCCCTTACCCAACGATAGTTGTACGGAAACGCACAGATACAGTATAGACACAGATACACAATGAATAAAAGTACAACTATCCAGCGAGGAAATAAAAAAACGATCCTTTTAAGATATGTTCTTTTCTTTTAAATTTCTACAAATAAAGACTGTAAAATCAATAAACAACCACTTTTGATGATCAGTAAATACACCAATATCTCATCTGGAGAAACAGCTGTTAGAGCACTAAATAATAAAAAGAAAAAAATGTTTTTCATTATCTTACGCCGTACAATCACCAGCACAATGTTTTTTTTTTTTTTTTTGGTAAAATCCATTAGCATCAAAACACATCTTGCACTTTCAAAGAAAAAATATTTTAAAAATTACGCAAAATTTTCATGACAAATGTAACATCGTTCAGCGAACAATCTGATAAACCTGCATCAGCTTTAAAGCTTTCGAACTGTTCCAAATACTTTTTTGAGTAATGACGCCACCGCATTAATGCTGCCAATGACACACTCTGTAAAAGAAAAAAATTTACAATATAAATATTAACATGCTCTCAAGCCTTACAAAATCAAATACAAAAAGTATCAGAGAAAAATGGTTAAATAGCTTACTAATGGAACATTTTTCTGTTCCAAAACTGCGTTTTCTTTTTTTACGACCTTTTCGCTGTCCGTTTTACAATCTGTCACATCTCCCAATTCTGCTACAATACTTCTCTCTTCGATCACTTCCATCGGTATCTCATCCTCTGCATTACTTATCACCTAATAATGAAAAAAGTGACGAAGTTTGAAGCTGAACTACAAAGAATAACAACAAGTTACAATTACAAAACCAAAAACCATTTCAAAAATAGACAAAATACGAAGAAGTACAGAGACTTCTGAGACCGCAGTAGAAGCACTAGCTTCATAATCCTTTCCAGTATAAGACAAATTTTCTTTATTTTTTTCACAACCGCTTTCATCCGTTGGCTCTGCAACCGCTTGACCGTCGCGCAACTAAAATTAAAGTTCTTAACAGGAATCTTCCACAAAAAAAGTAATAATCGTTAATTCACTGCAAAAAAAGAGGCTGTCAGTATAACTATTACTCATTTTCCCTTAGAAAGTCGCAGATCGCATAAAAATCCTAAAAAAAGCTCCACAATAAAAAATTTTGTAAATTTAACTTCAGTAATTGTAATGCAGAACAAGTGGTTTAAATAAAACAAACCAAAGATGAAGCTTCGTTTTCAACAATATCGCCTCTTTCAAAATCCAGCAATCCACACCCTCCACAATCGCACTCCATTAAGTCATGCGTATTGCATACCGTTTCGTCGTCGCATGAGAAAATGTCGTATAAATCTTCGTCAGTAAAATGTGTCTTCATAGCTTGAAAGAAGTCAGAAGTTAATTTCAATAACATGAACTCAGTTGGTTACTCAATAATAAAAATGGTTTCCCATTTCGAATTCAGTTAATTAGTAAACACACCCAGAATTATGTTTTTTGAGTGGGGTATAACTTACCCGTCTTTTAGAACACATTTTTTAAAAAATTCCTTCAAAAATGAGTCAGTTCAAATTAGTAACACAAATTCTAAATCCAAGCTACAAAACATGGTCACAATGCACTGAAGGTGAGTTTTAAAGCAGAAATACTCTAAAAAAAAATAAAGAACGTAAAATAAAAAATTTTAAATTACGAATGACCATAAAAGAAGTCCAAATCGATTCATAAATGAAGAAATTTAAATTCAGATTGAAATGCTTGAAAATTTAAAAGAATCAAACTTAGTGCAATCGATAAACTCTTCAATTTACAAACTTCACATTCTGGCCACTTTAAGTCACATAAAAGAATTCGACTCTCTAGAAAATTTAAAGGCCGAAAAAATCTAAAAAAAAAGAAAGAAATTATAGAAATATAAAACTTCTTGTATAATAACAAAAAGACTTTCTAATCCTACCAGAAACTTTCCTAAACAAATTTCTACACTATCTGTTTGATTTAAACTTAAATTACCTTCTCCTATGTCTTCAATCTCGATAACAGTACTCAATCCCGTTTTCATAACTTGCCGCTGTAAAATCTTTTCATCTATGGTCCCCTAAATTAAAATAATAATGATTCGAATAAAACTAACTTTTGAAACTGCATTACTTCAATCAGCAAAATGTCTCTGCCAAAAGTTTTTAACTAAAGAATTGATTTGTTGCATGAAGAAAAAATTACTTTTTAAGCGTAAAAAAAGCAAAAATCATAATTTTTTACTGTTGTGATTAAACGGTAGATATGACAAGGCTTTGTTTGTCCATCACGCCAAATCCTTGCCATCGCTTGAGCATCTATAGCTGGGTTCCACTCAGAATCAAAAAGAATCAGCCTACTAGCACCTATCAAATTCAGCCCGACGCCACCTAAAGTTACGAAAAATAATGCTGTAACACGACCATAGTTGTAGCCTATGCGAAAAAAATAGCCACTTAGTCAATGTAAGATAAAAATTTTTCTTTGATATGGCAAAGCATGTAAATTTGAGAACATGAAATGGGAAATTTTGCTGTATCATAATGGTGAAATTTTAAAACCATAATTAAGCAAAGAAGCACTCTGCAAGGAACTGATAAGAAATCAATAAAAACCTGCTTTGGTACTCAGAAGAAATACCGAGTTGCATTCAGTAGAAGAATTAAATTCTTTTACAATAAACATTCTTTTTTGTTGTAACACAGAGCCATCGAGACGATAAACAGTAAAGTAGAGACAGTTGCATAGTGTCTCGAGCATATCAAGAGTCTGCAACCAAAGAGCTATGTCGAAGTAACTTCTACTACCATAAATAAATCAAAACTTGACAATTCTATTCGCTTGCAATAACTCTCAAATTGGTACGGCTTCTTAAAGGTTATTAAATTTCATAAAATTTATTATTAAAAAGTGCGGATAATAACTTGAAGCAGTAACTTCATTCATAAATTAAAATTTGCATTTACAGCTTGCCTTGGTAAAATTGGAAACTATAACCACTTTTTCATTGCATTTACGGATTGAGCACATCAGCTCCATAAAAACACTCAATTTGCCTGAAAACAAAGATAGAACATCAAAAAATCCAAAAAAATTTGAAAAACAGAGAATGCTTTATTATTTTTTAGAATCATTTTCAGCAACCAGTGTATTAATTATGACTAACCTGAATCATTAACGGACAACGGGTTCGCTCCAAAAGAAGGCGGAAAAGTTCCAAGGACTTTAGAATATAACTGAGAACACTGAAAATATAGGTGGCTAAAACCTTTTCAAAGAATCGTAAAAGAGAGTCTGTCTAATTAACAGCTGAGAAGTTTTCCTGGTCCTTCATGTTTGGCCATTTAGATTTGCTTATGAACTATAACTTTTTGTTACTCTGTTTGCTGCTGACGTATTAACTGAAACATTCTGCCTCCACATAAAAACAATAAATATTACAATATAAAAGAAGAATAAAATTTTACCAAACCTCTGAAGACCCCTCCAGTTTTGAAAATACACTTTGGTACAATATTGAAGGATGATTGCAAAGTTTCTTGAGCATATCTATTAAAGTTAAGTGATCGGACGTTATAAACTCTCGAATGCGGTTGTATATCATTCGCTGCAGTTCGGAAAGTTGGCAGAAAAGAATATATTCGTCTAAAAAACAAGAGGTCTCAAACAGATTTCGACAACGGTTGCAGTCTTCCCGAGAAAACTCAGCAAACGAAATGAAGAACTGAATCATTTATCAGAACCAGAAATACAGCTCGCAGTTTTGAACTGTACATGAAAGCACTTAAAGGAAGCAACTAACATTTTTGGGGAAGATACTGATTGTTTACTTCAGCAGTACGCCTTAACAACGTATCTTTTAAAATATCTCGAAAACTGATCTCCTGAAAGTTTTTAAATAGCAGTAGAAGAAAAGTCAACACCAACTCAAAATATAACTGAATATGACTCAAGCAGCAAAATAATTTAAAAAGCGTTTTTCTAAAAAAAACACTCAAAAAAATACTTCGCAATTCTCAGTGACTTGACTTGTATCAAATTACAAAACACTATTACGAATAACGGTTTTTCCACTAACGTGGAGAAAACTACCTCACTGTTCCAGCTCAAATAGAAAAAAATTGTATTATCTACCGATTCCAAGCTAAACTAAACTTCCAAACAATTTCACTAATTGAATTTTTAAAACTTTGACAAACAGTGTAGCGCCTTCCCAAATTCACTTTCTTAACTCTACGTAAAGAAATATCGCAGAGCTACAACCGTATATAAACAATTAATTAATGAAATACTAATCAAGAGTAGGTGTAAATATTATTTTTTGATAGTAAGTGAAACCTCATATTCATTACTGTCAAGAAGTCTTCTGAACTCCGCAAGAGTGCCAAATGCTCCCGGACGAGCCAAGTTAAGTAGGGCAAAAAGTTCATCTGAATTATTTTGAACTGGCGTTCCTGTTAATAGCAGTCTCCGCTCTGCTTGTAAAGAACTAACCTGAACTACTTAATCTGTACAGAAATCAAATGTCTTTCAACCATTAGCTGGAAAAGGTTAAAAGGAAACAGAAGGAGAGCTATCAGACCAACCAGCCGGTGCATTCTGCCATTCGCATTCTTCAACCTATGCGCCTCATCACAAACTACTAACGAAAACGCGGTTTGTTTAAGCGGTTCCCCGATACAGGCGGCCATCTCGTAGCTCATTAGTGCGATTGGAGAACACCTTACTGACCGCAAATAACTATCAAATTCAACTGCCTTCAGCAAGTGAAAAATCTAAATGTTAAGACAAGAATTTAACAGATACTACCAAAGCAAAATAAATAAAATTGAAACAAATAAAGTTTGAAAATAACCAACCAACACCCTTGAATGAGGCACCCATTTGAGGAATTCACATTGCCAGTTCCTTACCAACGAAGATGGCACAATCAGTAGATACTTTTCAGGAGGACCACGATTCTTCGTTTTTTCTTTAATCATTGAAATGATCAAAGAGATAGTCTGTACACTTTTACCAAGCCCCATTTCATCAGCAAGAACAACGCCACTGCCTGCATACTGAATATGAAGACTTAGAACCCCTACATTATTTATAGCAGCAAAACGAATAAACATGCTGAATATTCTAAAAATATCCTGAAGCACATGCTGCACAAGGACGTATCGCAAACTACTTTTAGTTTTTCGTAGAGGAAACGAATCCCCTCTTCTTGATGAGGCCTCAAATGACATGCTATACGACTGTCAAGCAGAAGTGCTGGTTTCCCCTCGTCTACATCCGCCTACAATTCTGAGCTACTAATGGAAGTAAGAAAGCAGCATTTATTATAAAGATTAATTTAAAAAACAAATGAAAAGTAATGCTAATAAAAAATATCTTAATTAAGATTTCCAAATAGTTGTAAGAGAACAAAAACTTAAAATGATAAACTACTTTGTTGACAACAAAGGGAGGATCATTGCTCTTGTTAACCAGCAACGGTTGCACAAAATGGCGATTAACAGAAGTGCACCTCTTCTTTGGGAAAGATTCTGTATGACCGGTTTCTATGGTTCTGGACTGCTGCGATAAGTCATCTAAAACCCAAGTCATAAATATGCAGAAATAATGTCAGCTATCACGAAAAAACGATTGTAAGCTATCACCAAAAGAGGTGCCTGAAGCCGCAACCTGCTCCTGAACTTCAACTTCAAATCCTCCAACTACTAATCGGCTTCCGTCACATAGTTCACTTATACCTTTCCTTGTAAAAGTATTTGACCGAGCTATATCTACACCATCCTGAAACGTGCCAGCTCAAATTGAAGCATGGAAGTTTTATTCTTAAAATCACAAAATACCGTAAGCAAACATGCAAAAACAAGTTAAAAAAACTGTTCAACGCCAGAATTTTTTGAAAAAAATTCTGCTTCCGAACACAAATATCAAATGATGTTGCTACATATAAAGCGCATTTTGAAAAAATGCAGCATAACGACATGACTGAGGAGATTATCTGTGAAAGTTCAGAAAGAAAAAAGAGTTCTACTTTTGTTTATGTTTAAAATAAGCTTCATTAAGAGGAGAGATTAAAATCCTCTAGAAAAAACTAATTTCCAATATGTTGAAAGACAATGATTCAAACCGAAAAACTATTAACAACTAACCTCAGTTTGTAACACTGCTGTTCGATCCTTACAAAAAAGTATACCATCTCCCTCCCACTTTTTATGCTTCCTGGTCGACACTCGGCCGTAAAGAACGGAAAATTTTTTATCGTAAGAGGCAACTGAAATCTACGAACAGATCAGTGTACAGCTGTAACGAGGTGGTAAATGAAACATTTTAGAAATCATTAATAAAGCTTACTGTTAAGATCTAAGGGTGTTTCTTCCAACACCTGCTGCTGGTCATTGGAGCACAGCGGAAATGAGTGAGCGATAGTTTTAATCGTATTCTGCGACGTTGAAAAATGTCGTCTCATCAAAGCCCTCGCTGAAAATATATAGCCATCGACCATATATCATGGCGCAGCCAATGCCAACTTAAAGACCACTTAATCGCCTTCGTACAAAGGCTTTTCTCCACTGATTTCTTTATAACAGGTTTTTTTTCGTTCGGTATAAGATATCCACCATAACTCCTTGTCACAAACTGAACAGTCCCAGAAATACGTCAACTTTACAAATCTTTTCAAAATTTGTTTAAAAGCTTCCTACAGTCACCAGAAAAAAACAACTAGTAATAGATCAAATGAAAATTGCTAAATTTTACTGAACTTTCTCCAAACTGAATCTTTCACCAACCAGTCCTATCAAACCTTTCAATGTTTTGCCTGCATACAGTGCAACCTGTGAATTGCAATTTAAATGTATTAAATGAACATAAAATGCACCGGATTCTCAAACTTGTCAAAAGCAGCAAATAACGACAACAAAAAAGGCAATGGATAACGTTGACGTGTTCGGGAACGCCTAATATATGTAAATCGTTGATTCTCATCGATAGCATAACAAACATGGCGGCAAAAATTTATT